ATAGTAGAGGTATTAATGATAATGAAGAAGACTAAGGTTTGAAGATATTATTCAAGAAGTATAATTCAGTAAGATAAGTTTAGAAAGACTTAGGTAGAGATGCTGACGAATTCAGAAGATTTGGATTTGAGAGAGCACAACGAATGGATGCACTTGCGCCACTGAAAACGATTTTGATCCATGTCGTTCAAGGTCTCTAACCATTGGTGTCTTTCATCTCGTGGACAACCGTTTTATGCTATTAATAGTAAAGATGTGTTCAGAAATGACTAAATTTAAAAGATAATTTTTTCACTTCCAATAAAAAGCTATGATTAATGAATCTAAACTGTAAGGAGTGTACATCAGTTAGTTATTAACTACCTGCATTGGATTGGAACTAGAAGTTTAAACCATTAAACTCACTCACTGTAAAACCTGACGATCTCAGGCCCGGTTCTCTGTTTAATCCGGTTGCATAGAAGGAATTTCAATATCGTGTTTTGAATGACTGTTTAACTGAAATCTCCGATTATAACAATAAGTTTAGTGTAAGAATGACAATTATTTAGAGAAGTTTGATTAGAACACTTATGATCTTTCAAAGTATTGATCATTGATCTTGGATAGACTGAATCAGAAGTATTCACTTCTATCATTAATACATTGTCCGTAAAATATAAACAAATAACTCATTTAATACGTAACATTACAGATAAGATAGATAGATAGATAGATAGATGTGTGGATAGATAGATAGATAGATAGATAGATAAATTGTAGTGATTTCACTTTCCGATTATTCTCTCAGAAGTACCTATGGTAAGTATTATTAATCTGTCCAAAAAAGTACACAAATATTCATTTTATTTATTCAAAAACAATCTTGAGAGAAAAGAAAAGAGTAAATAGATCGGTGTGAATAAGTAAAACACAATTCATTTTTCACACACATTCAACAGTAAAACAATTGAAATTAGATTAAAACAACTGTAAAATAAAATAATTCTCAGATAGTTTTTTTTAAAAAACTAATTAGAATAAATCTTTTACATTGAATGAATAGTTTTATCAAGAAAACGAATAACACGCAATTATGTGTTATTAAGTGTTAATAAATATTATGAAATTTAAGAAAAAAAATTATCTACTCATATCTTTTTTATTTACTTGTAATTCGATTAACTGTTATCTGCCGAGATATTACTTACTTATGCCTGTTACCTCGAATGAAGCGTAGGCCGCTTACCTGCGAAATAATCATTCTGCTGGTTAGCGTTTTTTCTAGCGAGTTGGATTTCTACAGGATGGGGTTGTCGCTAACCCCATGTCCAACACTCCTCCTTTATACGGACATGGGACTGGCAGTAAACCTAGAGGGTTTCCAGGTGGAGTTTGCGTTGATAGAGATCATCTGTATTTTCACAGAACTATGCGGATCGTTGTTTTACCCTGAAATCATGAATGATAGATTGTTGGACGACCATTGGAGTCCGAATGAGAAGCCTTGACCAGTGCAGTTCAACCATGTCGTGTGTAGGCATTTACCTGTCAAAGAAAATGGATGAGGTTGTGCAAAATCCTTAGATTATTTAAAGTTAGACAGTAACACCGTTGGATGCCAGCTCAGTGGTCAGAAGGTTAGGCGTTTGTGAGCGGGAGTAGTAGATGTGTACTACTGATGAGTCCCATACTAGGAAGAAACGGCCGTCTAGTGATTCCAGGTTTCTATTGGTGGTGGTCTAACATTGATCGATTCATGATTTCAGTGTAATACAAAGGTTTTGAAAGACTATGCATATTGTTCTCAACTTATAATTGGAGTTTTCATCACAAACTAACATCATCTGAGGTCGTATGTACCATTTCATTTTGCCCCAACAATATCAAAGACACACTATTTGATTATTGATTCTATCAAATGTTTAAAGTTTTTGCAATCACACGATTTTCAACAGTGTCAATTAACGTGTTATTATATAATATAGAATAGACAGAATGGACCATCTGAAACATTTCACACCACCAGTGACACGATAAGCTACTTTAATCCAAGCGTCCCAAAGCCCACTAACCAGATCAAGAAGTCTTGATATGGCGTAGAAAGTGTATGCTGCAGGCACCCAGAAAATATGAGGTGTCTAAGCACACAAATTGAGCTTACTTATACATGATAGAAACGTCTTTGGGTACGTACTAAAATAATACATCAATCAATAACAATGAAGGATTTTCTCGGTGGGAAATGTAATCTCAAGGTCAACTGATCAACCCATGCTCAAAAACATAAAATCCAAAATTAGGACCTTTATCAGTTGAGTTCTGGGGATCTAACGTCTCCTACAATTACCAGTGTTCGATGCCATTTCGGTGGTTCGGAAGTTAGGAGTTCATGCGTAAGACCGAGGGTTCCGAGTTCGAATCCTGCAAATAGTACGAGTCATGAGTTCACACTGTTAATAAGGACGAAAAGACCATCCAACGCTCTAACAATGATTCATTCATAATTTCAATGTGATACAAACAGAGGTTTTAAAAACCTATTCACTTAGTTCTCAACTTATAGTTGGAGTTCTTATCACAAACTAACATCATCTATGGTTGTACGTATTGCTCTATTTTGCCCCTAACAATATATTTGTTTCCATCAAATGTTTATAGATTGTATGATCAGAGGATTTTCAACAATGTCGATTAACTTATTATTAAAATCTAAAATCTAGAATAGGCAACAAAATGAACTATCTGTAATAATTCACATCATCATTTTTATTCAATGTTACCAACAACCAGAATACAGCACACAAACCATTTTCCGTTAATACTTTTTAAGTGTTTTAAACAGTAGAGAGAAAAAAAGTAATTTTCTTATTGTATTGTGTTGTGGTAGATTGTATTGTAACCTTAAAAAATTGAATTCTCAATATTCATTTTATGCACTTTCTATTTTAGAAAGAAAAATATACCTAAAACATTTTCTTTTTTTCTTACTGATAAGAAAAAAAAATCGATTTAAAAATTTGAATTTTTTTTTCCAAACAAAAAAAAATCTAATACATTATTAATATCAATATGAGAATTGTGAATATGGTTCAGTGTCATGGGAAATTATCATTGAAAACTTATGCTTTCAGATAATCACACTTGGATCGATCGATGATTGCAATAGTTTCACATTTTAAAAAGATCTTAATATTGTAATTTATTTCTGAAATTTTGAATTTGTATGTTTTCGCACCAAGAGACGCTCAGTCTGACCTTCAGCTTACATTTCCCACCTGGCAAAATCCTTGACTGTCATTGGTTGATGGAATATTATTTTTGTACGCTCTCATCAGGGGTGTTTCTGTCATTGTATAAATATGCTTGAGTTGTGTGCTTGTTAACCTCGTATTTTCTGGGTGCCTGTGTTATACATTTCTCTGTCTTGTGAAGACGTGTACATCTAGTTAGTAGGGCCTAAGACATTTGGACTAGAGTAGCTTATTGTTTCACTGAATCAATGAGTAAGACGAACTCATAATAGCTGCAAGCATATCAGTTTTCTATGATAATCACATTTGGATCGATAGATGGTTTCAGTATTTTTTTTCTGAAAAATAATAATTTTTGATATTAAAACAATAAAATACTGTATTCAATGAAGTAGTTGAATCATTGGAAAAAGTTATACGTTGTTATTGGGTTGAAAAATGTTGTCACGCTAATATTTGAGTATCACTGTAATCCAAGCTTCCCAACACACCACCAAGTAGAGGGAGAAGTCATGATATGGTGTAGAAAGTGTATTCTACAAGCATCCAGAAAATATGAGGTCGACAAGCACACAAATCGAGTTTATTTATACATGATATAAACGTCCTTGGGAGGGCCACAAAAATATCGTACTAAAACAACACATAAACCGATAACAGTCAAGGATTTTCCGAGTGGGAAATGTAATCCCAAGGTCAACTGATCAACCCATGCTCGAAAACTCAAAATCTAAAATTAGGACCTTTATCAATTGAGTTCTGGGGATCTAACGTCTCAAACAAATATTCAATCTGTTTAGTACAATATAGAATTCTTAGCATGGAATATTTCCTCTACAAAACAATTCGTGATTAGTATTTGTAAGTAGACAGTTCAGGAATCAACACTTTATCAGTGTACATTCTTTTCACCACAAATATCCAGCAACCACGATGTTTCGGATTGTAATTTATTGTACCATATGAAGTGATATATTATAAACTCTTTATATACGCGCTTAGATAGATTACGCAATTAATGAGTATAATTGGCGTGTTAAAACAAAGCGAAGGAAGTAGCATGTTGAAATACTTTGATTTTAGACCAAGGGTAGCCCAAATATTCAAGCAGTTCACCAAAAAATATGAGAATAATGTCGTATGTGCACTCTTAGGTCGAGTGCATAGGGCTTGTCTCACCCTTTAGACAATCGGATCAATCCATTCTTCACGAATTATTATTCACTCTTATTTTGACCTTGTCATTCATTCGCATATTTGTAGGTCGTTTTCATTTGAATGTGAATGTGTACATGCTTACTTCGTTTATTACATGTCTAGAAGATTTTTGTCTGACTAGAAATGTTTAGTTATGTCTCATTACATTGAGTTGACTCACTCACCTTCTCCATTGGGCTTCGCTTTGCTTGTACGTTTCTCATTCTCATGTCTATCTGCGTGAACGATTGATTGCTGAATCCGTATTTGGCTTCTTACTACCGTCGTCCTACAAACCGGATTTATCTATGACATACGGAGTTTGAAGAGAAGATTTATTTCATAGCATATTTCACTGTTCATAAATATCGGAACCAAATAGCGCGCCACTAAAATTTTTAAAGTAATTGGTTATTTTATAAATAAATTACAAAGTATACCATTAATATTCTGTTAACATCTACTGAATATTTTTTTAAATATTCGCTCAAATCTCTTCTGATCATTGTTTATTCTTCTAACAAAATATTATTTTACTCTCTTTTTTCATATTTCTGTTACGAATTTCAGTGGCAGCACAGTGAGTTGATATTTTGTTATTAAAATTAAATGTACACAATTATTATTATTATTATTATTATTATTATTATTATTATTATTATTATTATTATTATTATTATTCAAAATGTAATATGCACAGTCACATTTTAACTTGTCTGTCTATCTATCTATCGATCGATCGATCGATCTACCTATCCATCTTTATTTATTGATTGATTGCAACATATCGATGTTTGTGGTATATTAGGGCAATAAATTTGCCCTCTCAACACACGCACACAAATGAGGTTCCGAAAGAGATGAGAGAAGGAATGTGAGTAAAATAAAGGAAAGAACCAAGAAGGATTAGAAATTAGTGTTTGAGAACGATAATAATAACAATAGTATTATCATTAGTAGTAATAGTATTAATGGGAGAGGCAGTTTAGTTAAGAAAAATATAACTAGTTTAGTAGCTGCGATGTAGGGTTCACCACTTGAACGTTCCGCACTTTGACTTCTTTTTGGGCAGACAGTCAAGTATATGATGAAATAAACTTTCCCATCCATTTCCGTATATCATACTTCGGAGATAATAAGAAGTCATATATGGATTCTGTCGGATGAATTTATTTCATACAGTCGTTCATTCAAACAGACATGAGAATGAAACGCGTACAGGCAAAGCGAAACGAAGCAAAGTGGAGAAGGCGAGTGAGCCAGTTCACTATAGTGAGGCATAACTTAACATTTCTGGTCAGACATAAGTCAGGCACACATACGATAAACGAATTAAGCGTTCACCCACATTCAAATAAAAACGACCAAGTAATGAGTGAATGATTGACCAAGTCAAAATACGAGTGAATACTAATTCGGGAAGAATGGATTGAATAAATTGTTCAAAGGCTGAGACAAGCCCTATGGGCTCGATATATTAATAGGCACATAGCACTCGAGAAAATTCTTTTAGTTAAACAAGTTCTCCCCACTTAAATGAAGAAAGTAAGAGGAAATTACATCAGGATCGCCAGTGCTTCCATGTCTGATAACATGTCAAGGCCACCAGGGAATCGTAAAGGTCCAACAGAAACCAGTCCTGTACAGTTTTATTTCATACCGCCACCACCACACCTAAGCCATACATCGATCTACTTTTCCTACCAGTACCAGAGTTGCCAAACGATGCAAGATCTAAATACAGGTGCAGAAGTCATGGTTAGTGTAAGTGTCTCAGTATGAAAGAAATCTGTACAGAATTGGTTTTAGTTGGTCTTTCACGATTCCTTGGTTGACTTGAAACTTTATATACACGTTAAGTTGCCTGGATGATGGATACAATACACTCTTGTTTGTTACAGTCGAATTATTTTGAGTGGAAAAATTACAAATCGCATTTACTAAGTCAAGAATTGATCAATGTTAGACAAGCATTAGTAGGAATCTGTAAGCACTGGATGGCAGTTTTGTCCTAGTATCAAACTCACCATCAGCAGTGTGTATTATTGAATTCAACGAAACTCAGTAATATCTCTATAACGCTATGATGAATATCATATAAAATGTGCTCACTAGTGACTAGCTTCATGAAGAAATTCTCAGGGTTCTAGTGAGAATCCATCACCAGTGGATTTCAACTTCGACGGGTGTGAGGCAGTTACCCATAAAAGACAATGGATGAGGTTGCGCAATATTGTGGATTGATTGAAGCTAGACATTACTACAATTGGATGCCAGCTCGTTGGTCTAGAGGTTAAGTGTTTCTGCTCGAGACTGATTATCCTGGGTCCGATTCCTCTGACCGAGATTTGTAGATGATCACTAACGATGAGTCCTGTACCAAGACAAAATGTCCTTCCGATGCCTCCTGATTTCTAATGATGGTCTAGCAATAATTCATTCATGACTTCTGTGAAACGCAACAATCTTCACTAACCCACAAAAATTTAATTGTTGGATCATGAAACAATTTACTAGTGAAAACCTTATCAAAAATTTTTGAACTATTTCATTACATTGTAAAAATGATTTATAAGTCGAATACTAACTAATAAAGAAACATCATTTCAAATCTTAGCATCTTCTAGAATTTTCCATATAATCAATTCCATAACAAAATAACTAACTTACTTAATTGTACAATCATATTTTGTATTAAATTCATTGGATTCAGTGGTCCAGAGGTTAGACGTTCGAGCACAAGACAGAGGGTCCCGGGTTCGAATCCTGTGAGATACAGAAGTCGTGGACGCGCACTGTTGATGAGTTCCATACCATAACAAAACGGCTGTCTTTCAGTGCTTCTTCCAGGTTTCTAATGTTGATTGTCTAACACAATGACTGATTAATGATTAATTTAATGTGCAAACAAAAACTCATCTCCATAACTTTAATTGAAAAATATTGATTTACTTGTTTGATTCGATTCTTTTCATTTCTTTACAATAGATCGTTTCGTTATGATCTGCAGTTGATTATTCCATTAGCGCTGGGTTTATTTGGAATCATATGTTTACTTGTAGCATTGCTA